TGTTAGAAAATAAATTATGTTAAAATCAATATTATATGCTTAAGTCATTTACAAATTTGGTTATACAGCAAATTCTCTTTTAAAACAATTAAAAATATATTTTTCCTATCTCTTTATCGAAGAAAACAAAAGATAGCATCATCACCTACGCATCTACATTGCCTAAAGTTGTATATCTTTATAACATTCTGCCTGCTGTCTTGTTCAGTATCCTCTTACCATACCAAGAAACTTTCAAGTTTTTTAGGAAAGTCTATTTTTTGAAGAAGCTCTTTATAGCAGAATGATGACCAGTGAGGTTTAGTTTTAGTGCTGAATTTGAATCTTTTGATTGGTGCGTAGAAGAAACTTTGATGCAACTTATATGAACAGAATCAATCACAATTGGAGGCTTAAATGTACATCACCACCACCTAGACCCAGTTATACGAATTTGGTCCTCTAAAGATTGAAAAATAAAAATTTGTCCATAAACCGCTATAGTACCCAAAAATTGATGTTTTATATTAATATAATTTTTAATGTCTAAAACTGGTACTTCATAAGTTATAATCCGAAGCCAATTTTGCCATCACATCATTTATGCTAACAAAATTGTATATATAATTATTTTCCTCTAAACTAAAGCAAGTTTATCTCGAAAAGGAATTTGATTACTGAATTGTTCATAATATATTCCAACAACAACAACAAAATATTAGTTGAAAACTTGAAATTATGCAACTTAATTACATTACTATAACTTCATGTTGGACCATACTTATTACAGCGAAATATCACATTATTTCAAGTTTTCGACCACCATCTTTGATCAAGCCAATTCTCAAATAAAAATTAATAAAATACATTTCTGAAAGGTTACACAACAGTAAACAAGAAGGAATAAGAAAAGAATATTCATTTCTGTGGTTTTCAAGTGATTACAAAGTTTAATGCAAAATCATGAAGATCTATAAAATGAAACAAACAAACAAAATCGGAGTCATACTTGCAAGTTGCGGAGCCCTTGCCGAAGTATGTAAATTATGTGTCCCTATTTCTTGGGACGCAAGAAACCTAAAAAGCACAGAGAATCAGTTGTCATCTGTGAAGGCCTTGAAGATAAAGTCACGGAAACGCCTCGAGTATTGTTTTGGATCAACTGCAGATATAGATGAAGGATCATATTGTATGCTCTTGTAAGCATGTTCAAGTTTTTTGCTAATATCGTAATCTTGAAGAATGTCTATAATCCCAAATATCAACACCACTTCATAGAACTCTCCTGTTGGGTCTCCCACAAGCTCAAACTCACTATCACTTTTCCTTATCGTTCTCTCGGCACGTGCTGGCATGTTGGTTCCTAATCTGATACTAGCCCACCTGCAACAACATAACCATAACCAAATTCATGTTTATGCATTCATGTTTCTTTTTGGAACAACCAAGATTCTAGTATTGGCAGAAGATAAAATTTTACATTTTTTACGGAAAAATGATTTTATGTTTTTGGCGAAAACGAGAATTTATATTCTTGCCAAGAAAATGAAATTTTACGTTTTTAAAGAGATAACATATTTTATGTATTTGGCCTAAAAACTAGATTTTACGTTTTTGGCGAGAAAATTGTATATATGAAGTAAAAGCCCGTTTCCGACCCGGATATATTTAGTCAAATATTATAGTTTTGGGTTTGAAATTTTGGAAGGGTTTAATATACCATATGGGTCTCTAGTGTTGTTATTGTTTTCTTGTGTTGTGTTACCTTGAGGGATCTGAAAGTAGTTGATCAACCTCTGCTCTAGAGAGACGATGGCATGCTTCTTCATCAGACTCACCAATAGGTGTTTTAGCTCCAGAAGGAATCAGATCTCCAGCTACTGAAGCTTCTCTGAAGTGAATTCCAACAAGAAGACTGTAGTCCATGATCCTCTCCTGTTCTAAAAACTCACAGTCTTTATCTATTTGCCTGTAGTGTAAACATTGAGCCATGAGAACTGAAACAAAGCATAAACCAACTAATAAAAGATTAGAGTATAATGGATTTCCACCTGGTGAATTCTTGGTACCATGCTTTCTGCAACCTGAAAATGAAACTCAGGTCTCGGTCTTTTAAGATGGTGTTTGAATCAATTTCTGATTCGGGTTTGTCAGTGGTACGGCCAAGAGAAGATCCTTTCAGATCAAAGATTCTGTGGACAGAGTACTTAGAGCAAAACAGATTACCCATTATGACAAACCTCACCTACATAGGGAGAGAGAGATATGAGATCAAACCAGCTTTTTCTAAAGCCATGTCACATTAAGTGTTAATGTTTTGTATCTACCTTCTTTTGAGTTGGTCCATTCAATCTCACACAATGTAGACCAAAGAATCTGATTACTAAAGAGTTCTCAAAAGCTCTAACATGGTTATAATACGCTGCAAGCATCCTAAGAAGCACCTAAACAATCAAAAAGAGACGTTTCAGTATATGCAACTCAAACAATTGGTTTTGCACCAACAACACTTTCAGAACTTACTTTTGTTTCCGACTTCTTCATTGTTTTTATCATGTAACGATCATCATTTGTTAGGTAAAAGAAGCTCCCACTTTTACCAGGGGATGATAGTTCTCTAAGGGCATCATTCCCACAGATGGATAACATGTAATCAGCTGGGTCTACTTTGAATAGCTTCCTCAAGCTCCTGGAGAATGAATCATAAGCAGAAAATGTTTGTAAGAAAAAAACATGATTGGTAAGAATGTGAAAAAGACTAACCTGAAAACTAGTGGGCAATAATCTTTCCATTTAAATTCAGTAGATTGATGTGGAGGTGTGTACTTAGATCCTTCACGTGGAAACCTCCTCCATATCTTATCTTTGGGATCAAAAGCTGAAGGTTTTAGATCAAGAGATGCTGCTGGAGCTTGTCTTCCAACAGAATGCCTGTGGAAATAAAATTAATTACTAAACATAACAAAACAATAGCATGGTTCCATGTGTGTATATATATAACAACAAAGATCATATTGTATAACTTATAAAGCATAGTCTCTCTCTCATATTTACCTGATTCCTAGCTGTAGATTAAGCATAAGCTCGTAATTGCGATGACCTTTAGAAATAGTCTCCCCTTGCTTCCTCCCTGCCTTTGGTAGTTTCATAGGCACAGGGGTAGACTTCAGGCCCCGAAGACCTTCAGCCTCTAATCTCATCAACTCTGCATCCAACTCCTTCCTCAAATCTGAGCCTTCTTCACCAGATTCATTCCCCCACATATTCATCTTCTCAAACGCTCTATCTACACCCACACTCACCCTCCCATCAACAGACACCCTCCTAGGCTTCTCTACACGTTTTGAAGAGTTCCAAACAGATAGTTTCTTCTGTGAAGGAAGCATAGGAACCCTCTCTCCGCTACATATACTGTACTCACTCAGATTATCAAACAAATCTTTAGGATCCCATTCAAGATTCCCTTCATTTCCTGATGGATAATAAGTACCATTCATCTCCTCTGGATCTTTAGACCAGTTACCAACATAGAAGCTCCCATCATCCCATTTATAAGTCCCATTACCTCTAGGGAAACCTTCATCCCAATACCCATCATATCTATTACCATTAGTCCATACAAAGCTCCCTTTACCATAGATAGTCCCATTCTTCCATTCACCAGTGTAATGACACCCATCACTCCATTGATACTTTCCTTGGCCTTCTTGCAAACCTCTCCTCCATTCACCATCATATGCATCTCCATTTGCAAAACTCTTGACACCATGTCCATGCTTCAGGTTCATCACCCACTGACCTTTATAAGCATCTCCACTTGGACCAGTGTATGTGCCATTACCATCCATGTAACCACTTTTAAACTCTCCTTCATATGTAGCACCAGATGGCCACCCAAACTTTCCATTCCCCATGGTTTTACCGTTGTACCAGTCACCAATGTACATGCATCCATCTGTCCAGAGGTATTTTCCATGGCCGTGAGGGAAGCTATCGTACCATTGTCCTGTGTAGTAGTCTCCATTGGGTAGTACTCTCTCAGCGTTGTAAAATTCATCTACGCTGCTCCTGTTTGTGGAGGTCTCATCATCGTTCTCATCAGTTGAAGTATCGTTGTCCGTATTTGGAGCTACGGATACTGTTCCAAAAACGCTATTTGCTCGCTTCTTGGCTTGTTGGGTCTTACGCAAGGTCACCTCCCATGCTTTTAGAACATAGCTTTGTTCCTTGCTCATTGTGTTGTACTAAAGAAAATTTATATCTAAGCAAAAAAACTGTATTTTATTAGCACCTATAGAAGGATGCCCTATTGAAACATGTGCGTTCTTGTCTAGATAACAATGTTAAAGATGATGTACACATACCCAAGAAATCAACAAACATATGTGTCTTTGGATTGAATATTGCTCTGGACTAGGTTCCAAAACCAAACAAAGAAAGAGGAAACCTAATGGCCAAGAAAAAGAGTTAAAATGAAGAAAAAATGTCTCCGAGATTTCATCTTTTCTAATCAGTTTTACAAACTAAATTTGCCATTACTCAAAGAAGGACTCGTTCATGTCCTCAAACCAATGAAAGGCCTTGAAGTTTAGAGAAACATGCAAACCCTTTCTATATTTAGCATCTCATCGCTTCCTTCTCACGCAAAGACATGTTTCTTATAATAATAAAAAAGAATAATGTAAATCATGTAAATGGACCATGCAATCATGTAAATCTTTAATTTTTCATGTTTTGACATCATTCACACAGACATTTTTCGATAGATTATCGGTTTGCTTAAAAACGCTTAATTTTGAGAGAGAAAAATGTAGACAAATAGCCGTAAAAGCACTTTAATAATATTGTTAGCTAAATTAACTCTATTAGACATATTTACAAGCACCAACATATATCAGAAATGTTAAATAAAGTCTTTAAATTTAACACAAACACAATGTCATTGACGCATTCACTCATAAACGTTACGCAATACAAATTTAGAAAACAAAGCAAAGCTAGAAAATATCAAACACATAGAGTCATATCTTGTTGAGCTTGGCGAGGAGGAAGACGGTGGCGGAAGTGACGGCGGGGATGAGCAAGTCGTTGGGAAAGGATGTCGGAGCTATCCGGTTCTTGAGGAATACGGCCAAGGCAGGAACTCCAAAGATGAAGAGTAGAAACTCTTTTACTCCTCCAACGCCGGTGAAACCAGCTCCGATCAAAACCTCCTGAAGAAGCTTCTGAAACTCATCCTTTGATATCTTCTTCCCCTCACCGAGATTGTGTCTCTGGCGTGATGCAAAGTATAATGTCCATAGGTTAAATAATTAGTTTTAATTAGTTTTAAAAATATTGTTTATTTTATAATCATTATATAAAATATTTTAATGTCCATATGTACAATACATATATAAGATAACAGGCTTATATACATTTACAAAATTAATTTTAAGTATTTTATTAGAGATAATGTGAATGATATATCATGTGAATATTTGCAAATCTAATGTTTCAACTCTCATTTGCTTAATAAATCTGTTAACCGAAATAGAAACTGAAAAACTTTACCTCATAAGCTTCTTTTAGTTTCTCAACACTTGGCACCTTCAGTTGGGTACCACCGAGTCTTCTATTAATTTCTCTGGCAACACCAAATAAAGAAGTATTACACCACATAAGATTCATAGCATTGTCATATTATCTTGATTGTAATTATATTACGATCAGATTAAATAATTGTGCCAAAACTCAATATTAGGGAAAAGATTTACTCGACAGCCTCATCCACAATGCGGTAGAAGTCGCCAAAAGACCATTCTTGATCGTCATCTTTTTCTTCAAGGCGTGTACGGTAGCAATTTTCTGCCATAGATTCTAAGTCTTTCCCTGTTACCTCACCAGTTCCTTTTGCTGCGCTCCATAACCAAGTGTGACCAGAAAGAAAAGAAAAACATAAAATACGATAAAATTTCGTTAATGGAATTTATATTACGTTATAAATGAACATTAAAAAGACTTGTCACGTTGGTTGAGCAAGAGAAAGGACGAACCGGTATTGAGGGCTTGACCCATACTGTGGTAACTTCTTGAATTTCGTGATAACTTCTTCTTGATTTTCTTGATAGCTTTTTTGATGATTAGAAATTGAAATAATCTTGATAGCTTCTTCTTTCTTTTTTTGAAACATTGTAACAAATTTAAAGGATAGTATTGAGAAGCAAATGTCCGAGACGTGACTTGTTACTTGTGAGGTGGGCTCAGTATCTTGGCATTTCCTGATCGATAAGCTAAGTACCAGAAACGTGACAAATGAACATAAGGATCGTGAGAAAAAAATGAGAGATAATTTATTTTGTTTTATAAATAAATTATCCGTACTCTTTACTTTAGGTTGTTTCGGTTGAATCGAATTTTTTTTTGGAAAAATGTTAGCCAGCTACACGAAGTATCACCCATCACATGGCAAGCCATGCCAAGTTTAATAATGTATGGCCAGCTACACCAAGTATATGTTATGCATACCAACATCCCCGAACTATATGATGCTATGTAATCAACATCATTAGCTTAACTAAAATCGAACGTGAATGACACGTGGACACCTCAACCATAAACTCTGTTAACTCTCTGTTAACTCCAGTGGTTTAACTTTTCGGTTTTGGAAAATTTAAACCAGAAGGAAAAGCAAAGAATAGAACCAGACCAAATAAAATTGGGCCATTATTTTAAATTCAGCCCAAATGATTCTTAATCTCCTCCCTTCTTGTTCATCGTGAAAAGCAGATAGAAAAATTAGGGTTCTAAATTTTTACAAATCAATTGGAGAAAGGAAATTGGTGTTGCTTTATATTTTAAGAAATCGAGAAAGAAGAATAGAGAAACTCTGAATTCTCATTGAGATGAGGTATTTGTTTCATATTTTACTTAATTGTTTTTAGTTTTTTCTGGTTGTTAGTGATGTCTCAGTTTTGTTTATGTGTGAGGACAAGCAGTGTCGGGTTGTTGTCGTCGAAGTTTTTAAAGGATTGTAGTGGTTTATATATTAGTTTATTGTGTTTATGCTTGTTTATTTGTCAAGTTGTGGTCCTCATGTGGTCTTCTTGTCGTTTTTTTTTGTTTTATATGTATATTAATGTTGCTTGTTTGGACTTTTGTACAGTGACGAGGATCTGGTGGTGACAATAAAATGTCATCATTCTGGAAAGTTTCAAAAGAAAGAAGCTGTTGTGGATTACGTTGATGGAGAAGTCACTGTGTTTGAAGTGGATTATAATTGTGTCTTCTCTTCTTTAGTGTCAAAAATATCTGAGAAAAAGATAGTTTTTAGGAAACTATGGTTCAAGCTCCCATATGAAGACATTGAAGATGCTAAGCCTCTGTGGGAAAATATAGAGAAAAATAAGAAGAAATTGGAAACAGCAGGTCGATGGTATAAGGCGGTGGACATATATATTGAAAAAGATGGTTCTGAAGAGGTTACAGAGGATGGCGTACCTCAAGAGATGGCCATTGAACCGATTCATGAAGGTGGTGAGCATGGGAAGGATGATGAAGGTGAAGATCCAACATACGAGGTTGAAGTTTCAGATGATGATAGTGTAGATTCTGAGGCAGGTTTGTCTGAAAATTCAGAGTCTGATGATGAATTTGAAGTAGTTGAAGAGGATATAGAGATTTTCGAAGACGTGAATTATGAAGAACAAATTCCAGATGAAGATGAAATTTACCCTGCCACTGATGACTCATCTGGTGATGAAGAAGAACAAGCTGAGAAGCTGGTTAAAAGAAATTTGCCTGATGGTGTTTTCAGTCTGAGACAACTATTTAATACTGGCGAGGAGTTTAAGGAGAATGTGATCAGATACATTTTGAAGACAAGGAGAAATGTTGTCTTTGATAGATGGGAGAAGACTAAACTTGGTGCAAGGTGTGATGAGAAAGATTGCGGGTGGCACATCTATTGCTCAGTGGAGAATCCAATAGGGAAGTGGATGGTGAAAACCTATGAGGACGAACATCAGTGTCATCCTGTGGGGAGGTGTAAACAGATCAAGAGTCCTGTGATAGCTGATCTATTTTTAGAAGACATTAGACGCGATCCAGAAATGAGTGGTCCGGAAATCAAAGATGAAATGAAGAGGAGGTACAACATCATCATCTCACCTCCACAGTCGCAGGTGGCTAGGAGAATGATCTTTGATAAGCTCCAAGCTGAAACGAATGAGCAGTTTGCAAGACTAAGAGATTATGAGCATGAAATTAAGAGGTACACTTGTTTATCTTTAAGGATTCGTTAACTTCCATTCTAAATAATCCTTTCATTATGTTGAATATTTATTGTCTCTATTTTTCAGGACAAATAAAAACACAACCGTGGAGATCAATACCATCACAAGAGAAGATGGAGAGGAAATATTCTCACAAATCTACATATGTTTTCAAGCTCTAAAGAGGTCGTGGAAAGCCAACTGCAGACCCATCATCGGCTTGGATGGTACGTTCTTAAAGCATTCTGTCCAGGGGATGATTCTCACCGCAATTGGAAGGGATCCAAATAATCAGATATATCCTATAGCTTGGGCAGTAGTTTCAGCTGAGAACAATGACAACTGGGAATGGTTCATTCACAAGGTGAAGATTGACTTGGCATTGGGTGAAGGTGAGAATATTACTATCATATCTGACATGCATAGAAGCTTGATTCATGGTGTTAGTACGGAGTTGCCAAAGGCTGAGCATCGAGCGTGTGCTAGACACATTTACGCCAATTTGAAGAAGCTGCATAAGTCTGACACTTTAAAACCTTTGTTTTGGAGAGTTGCAAGCAGTTATAACAACGCTGATTTCAAGGAGAATCTAAAAGTCTTCAGAGCATTTGATCCAAAGGCATGTGATGATTTGCTGAAGAAAGATCATCGTACGTGGTGCAGAGCTTTTTTTAGGATTGGTTGTTGTTGTGCTGATACTCACAACAACCTGACAGAGTCTTTCAATAGGACTTTGAAGATTGCAAGGAAGAAGCCATTTGTACAGATGCTGGAGCTTATAAGAAGAGATGCAATGCAGAGAATTGCGAATAGGTACACTATAGCTTGCAAGGAGATTGGACGACACACAAAGAAAGCAAGAAAAGAGGTAGAAAAGTCGTGTGAAGAAGCTCAGCATTGTTACTCTGTCTCAAGCACTGGTGGGAAATATGAGATTGTGGAGGGGACTAATGGCTATTCAGTGCATCTCAATAAGCGCACTTGTGTATGCAGGAAATGGGACTTGACAGGTATTCCTTGTCGTCATGCTGTTTGTGCAATCCGAGAGAACACTGGGTTAGTTGAGGACTACATCTCAGACTACTACTTGACTGCTAAATGGAAGGAGACTTACCGGAAAGGTTTGAAGCCGGTTAATGGCCCTAAGTTTTGGGAAGAAGTTGGAGGAAAACGCATTTCTGCACCACCTTATAAGCGACCACCGGGTAGACCAAAAGGTAAAGCAAGGATCAAGGGTGTCCATGAATCACCACATGAAAAATCATTATTAGGTTTCTAGTTCAATTGATTTGGGCTGAATTAGAAATAAAGACCCAAACGATTTTCTTTATTTGGTCTGATTCTATTGAGTTTCAGATTAATGTGTCGTTAAATTTGTTCAAACCACTGGAGTTAACAGAGAGTTAACAGAGTTTATGGTTGAGGTGTCCACGTGTCATTCACGTTCGATTTTAATTAAGCTAATGATGTTGTTTACATAACATCATATAGTTCGGGGATGTTGGTATGCATAACATATACTTGGTGTAGCTGGTCATACATTATTAAACTTGGCATGGTTTGCCATGTGATGGGTGATACTTCGTGTAGCTGGCTAACATTTTTCCTTTTTTTTTCTATATCTTAAAAGTAGTGTATATACAACCTTTGTTTATTTTCAAGAAAAAATACAACCTCTGTTTATTTTCTTCTAAAATTGATATACGAGTTTACAATATTAGAAGGAAGATTTTCAAAAAAAAACATTAGAAGGAAGATTATTCTTCTCTTTTGGAAAATATCAAGGTGGAAGAGGCCTAGGGATGCAGATCTTTCTTTAATTATTACTCTGTTTAAAAGTACAATTGGAGAAAATTAACTCAAAATAAAGTACATGTGCTTGAAAAGGATAAATTACTAAAAGGAATGATCATATGAAGCTTTGACACTTGGAAATAGAATCACATGCAGCCAAATAGAGATAACGTATTTCTATTTTTTCCCTGACATGGCTTACAATTACAACCCATTCCCTCGTCGACTTCGCGTCACTCAGATATTCTTTTTGTGTTTTTCTCAATTTTGAACTCTTTGAGACATCAAGATCCAGATTTAGACCAACGAATGAGTTTTAAGTAAGTACTACGAAGAATTTAGATTAAGATCCAGCGACATTATTATGATTAATTTGTCTCAAAATTGAAATCGAATTTTTAAAAATTTAGATTACGAAGAAAAAAAAGAATAAAGTCTCTTCATAGTAAAGTAGAAGATTTTCATGTATTTGACAAAAGTAGTTGAACACTTAACATAATGGACATTTCGATTTTACAAAACTTAATAATGCAAGTTTCAAAAAAAGAATTTTTTTATAAAAAAAAAACTTAATAATGCTTTGTGTGCGTTTTAAATATGTGTGTTTTGTATCCAATATAAGAAAAATGCTTTGATTACTACGAAAATGAAAGGTGGTCATAGATAAAGAGAAGATATGACACTAAAAGAAAATATAATGTTAAATAAATTTGGGTTTTATTTGCTTAAAATAAGTTAGGTAGAGAATTTGTTTTTTTATATTATTTCAATTTAGTCAAAGTGAAAACTGGAGTTTTGGTCAAAATTTTTAAATTAGATTTAAATCTATTAAATTTTCACTCTTATGTTTAATTTTTTTTTATCAAAAACAGAAATAGTTCAAGATTTTGTCATTGTAATCAAATTTTCTTAAATAATGGTAGAGTTCAGACTTCTTAACTAATAATCATAACTAGAGTTTTTACCCGCACGTTCGTGCGGGTATATTTTTCATTTTAAAAAATTTATTTAATATTCATGTAAATGTTTTAAATATATAATTTATATGTTTATGTTATATATTATGTAAATTTATAATCTAATTGGTGTAGGTTTTTATTCAACATTATTAATAGAAAATGTTTTTTATATTTTTATATTTTCTCAACATATTATTTTATAATAAAAATATTAAATTTTCAGTTAAAAATATTTTTCCCTAATATCTCCTAAATTAGTAAAATTTTCTGATATCCTATCTTTTTTAAATAACACATGAACTAAAAGTTAGTTATATACTATTATATTTTTTATATAATCATTTTAGATAATATGTTTTTGTGAGTTTTAAATTAAGTAAAAAGTAAGATATAGTAAAAATTTAACATTATGCTAACATTTTTGTATAAAAAATATACATAATTTATTATGTTAATCCTTTTAATGGTGAATAATTTTTTTTATTTAAGTGAAATAAATTTAAAATAAAGTTTCATTTACCAACTTTATTTATTTTATTTAATTCATAGTGCAATTCTATTTTAATATAACATAGAGTATAATATGAAATTTTTAAAATAGTATAGGATTCTTTTTTGTTATTATAGTGAAATTTTAATTAATATTAATGTATAATAGTATGATATTATTAATTACGAAATTCATTATTATGTTATTTAATAAAAAAATATTTAAACTTTAAGTAAGATTTTGTTAGATTTTCTCTCAACCGATTCTGTTATAACTAAAAATAAAATGTAAATTTATTATTTTCAGCATATATGATATATATTTGATTGATTAACCTAAATAATTTAATATATCATACTAAGTAATTAATGAAATGATCATATATGACTTTTTTGTAGTAGATGATAATAGTGACTCTATTTTAATAGAGTAGATAAATACAAGAACTAATAACACTAAATTTAATTAAAATATTAGAGTTTACTTGTATTGAATTCTGCCGCCACGTCACCATTTCCCGCCTTTATAATAGCCAAGCAACTCGCAAAACAGAGAGACAGACAGCAATCAAATCACAAAAAGCGTCAAAAAGAAAACTAAAAAGGAAAAAGAAAAAACGGACACACTGTTTGTCTATTCATCTTTTCACTACCTCTCTCCCTTCTCTGCAAACTTCTCGAACCAACTCCCTCTAATAACAACAAGTCAACAACACAAAAGAAACCAATCAAGAAGATTGATTTTTTTTTTTCTGTTTCTTTGCTTCTTTTAAACCCTCGCTAGATCGATCACCACTGAAGAGTTTTCTTTTAGAGCATGGAGGTGAAGAAACCCGAGTTCACTTTCGAAGACGATGAAGATCTAGAAGACAGCAGTAAGTACGAGAACGACAGTGACACTGATCAAAGTGATGTTGGAGACCTTCCTGGTGATGACGACAACAATGATGAAGATACTTTCATCTCCCAAGTTCAATGGCCTCAAAGCTTTAGGTAATCTTCAGCAAGAATCATTACCAAACCGATCATATGATTTATTGTATTCACAGAGAACCTTTTTATTTCAAACAGGGAGACGACTGATTCTTATACGATTGCTGCATCACCAATCTTCGGGTCTCTCAAAAGTAATCCGAGTTTCTATAGACAGAGCAGAAGTAATCTTGATGTTGAGTCAAAAGCTCCTTTGCTTCCTGAGAGAACTGAAGAATCCGACAAAGCCTCAGTTACACAATCAGTTTGGTCTCATAAAGGCTCATTTGCTGATGAGTTGCCCATTGGTGGTTATGGCTGCAGCGTCACTCAAACCATTTTTAATGGTAAAGAAAAAGATTATGCACTCTGATTATTGTCCTAATCAAGAAACATGTGTTAACGATTATGACTATGGTTCTTGTCCTAACCAAGAAAAATGTGTAGCGGTTATGACTATTGTTTTTGTCCTAATCAAGAAAAATGTGTATTATTTTTGCCTAATCAAGAAACATGTGTTACTTAGTTTATCAGTTGTTGTAAAATAAAAATAAAAAATCAAGAAACATGTGTAACGGTTATGCCTATGGTTCTTGTCCTAATCAAGAAACATGTGTTAATTTTTGCAAAACTATACTTGGTTACAGGGATTAATGTAATGGCTGGAGTGGGACTTCTCTCAACACCTTACACAGTGAAAGAAGCAGGATGGGCAAGTATGGTGATTCTTCTCTTATTTGCTGTTATATGTTGTTACACTGCTACTTTGATGAAAGATTGCTTCGAGAACAAGTCTGGCATTATCACTTATCCTGACATTGGAGAAGCAGCTTTTGGGAAATATGGTCGTATTCTCATCTGTGTAAGTCACTATCCTGACCTCATCTAAGTTATTCTGTAGAATTGCATCTGAAGAATCAGACTTTCTGAGAGTAACTTCAACCCATAGAGATTGCTGTTTTTTCATTTATTTACAGAGGAAGAAATAACATTTCTCTATTTTTTTATATTTAGAAATTTTTATTTTAGAATAATACATTAGAGAAAATCTCATTTATGTTATATAGTTCTTCTATTTTTAGAATAAAAATAGCAAAATACATTGGATATGGTTTTATGGTTTCTGAAATGGTTTGTCTTTTTCATCAGAAAAAAAAAAATGATTTTTCTTTTTCTTGCAGGTGCTATTGTACACTGAGCTATATGTAAGTGAAGATCAACCTTAAAGCTTTTGTTTCTGTCTGCACAATGTGAATTTACTAGAATCTTTATCCACTTTCTTGTAGTCATATTGTGTTGAGTTCATCATTTTGGAAGGGGATAACCTGACCGGCCTTTTCCCTGGTACATCCATCAATTGGCTCGGGATCCAGATTGACTCTATACATTTATTTGGAATCTTAACTGCGCTCATCATTCTTCCAACTGTTTGGTTGAAAGATCTTCGCATTATATCCTACCTTTCAGGTACAGTCAACTGCTTTTTCTTTTTGCATAATCAAGAATCTTGTGAAATAGTCAAGAATTTTGAATTAGCTTCTTTTGGTTCCACAGCTGGTGGGGTTATTGCAACTGTTTTGATAGCAGTGAGCACATTTTTTCTTGGTACAACAGGCGGGATCGGGTTTAATCACACTGGTAATGCTGTGAAATGGAATGGGATACCGTTTGCTATTGGTATCTATGGATTTTGCTATTCAGGTCATTCTGTGTTCCCAAATATATACCAGTCCATGGCTGATAAAACCAAGTTCAACAAGGCAGTGATCACATGGTAAGACAAATAAAATTTTCAACTCTTGTAATGTTTTGATCAAGTTATTTAAGTGTGTGTGGCTACATTGCAGTTTCATTTTATGTGTTTTGATATACGGAGGAGTTGCAATCATGGGTTATCTCATGTTTGGTGAAGCCACCTTGTCTCAGATAACACTAAACATGCCAAAGGACTCAATATTTTCGAAAGTGGCTCAATGGACAACGGTTAGTAGAAGAGAAACTGGTGTTTTATTTTCCTTCTCCATCTTGGTTCTGTCTTTATCTTTCTTTCTTTTTTTTTCAGGTTGTGAGTCCGTTTACAAAATATGCTCTCTTGATGAATCCACTTGCAAGGGGTATAGAAGAGCTCTTACCTGAAAGTATGTCAGAGAACATATGGTGTTTTCTTCTTCTAAGAACAGTACTCGTTGCTTCTACTGTTTGTTCTGCTTTCCTTATCCCATTTTTTGGTAAGAATTTTAAAGCTTCAAAACGGTTAGAAGTTTCATGTCTTTGACTTGGTTTGATTCTTACTGGTCTCAAGAGTTTTTCTTCTTCTGCAATTGGTTTATATTCCACACAGGTCTTGTGATGGCTCTTATAGGATCTCTTCTCAGCATACTTGTGGTTAGTAGCATTCAGCATCTCTCCTCTCCTTATTTATCTTAATATCCTAAGAACATTATTCTTATCAAGACTCAACACATATTCTTGGATCAAATCTTTTTTACGTGAACTTTATGTGTGGCTCAGGCAATAATAATGCCAGCTCTATGCTTCATGAGGATAATGGGTAACAAAGCTACAAGAACACAGGTATATATATATATATATATATATATATATATATATATATATATATATATACATTGAGATTTTCTTTAGTCTTCTCTTCTCAGCTTCTTGAAAGTAATGTGGGGATTATGAGTTTCTGTGTTTGGATTCTTATTCTAACACTGACTTGTGTTGTGTGTTGTGCTATGGGATACAGATGATTTTGAGTTCAGTAATTGTGGCGATTGGGTTGGTAAGTGGGATCTTGGGGACATACTCTTCAGTTGCAAAGATAATTAGGAACTATTAATGACAAAGCTCCCCCACCCCCCTTACCCGTAGTCTACCCTTTTGTTTGTTCATGTTGATGCTAATAAAATCTTGATTGGGATTATTTTTGACTTTAAAGTAATAAAGATAGTGAAAGGTTTGCTTTCTCAAAGTTTGTCATGTTTGCTTTTGTATTTTTGTGTATTTTCTTCATTTATATGAGCATCTTTAGTGTTACAAAAAAAAACATCTTTATAAATAATTAAAAAAAACTATACTGTTATTTGCGATGTTATTAAAAAATCTATACTCTCACGTTAAAATTGAAACGATTAAATAATACTCATAATAAATAATTATGTTTATTTATTAGATTATATTATTGGCTATAAATTAATATAATAAAAATTAGCCAAAAACTAAAAATGAATTTAAAAAATATTTGATTAGATAATTATAAAAATTTAATAAAGTTAGCTAAAACTTAAAATTATATTTTAAAATAAAAGATAATTTGTATGTGTTATCCAAAAATATTTTCAGTAAAAAAGTCAAAAACTAAGAAACAAAACAACATATAACTAAATATTAATCAAATAAAATTCTTAATCTTCTATAGTCAAAATGAAAATATATATTGTAAAAATTTATTTATTAATAACTAATATAGTGACAAAGAAATCTCCAAAATACTTAAAATAAGTGAAAATTTTCAAATGAAAAGATAAACAATAACATATAATGATAGTCTTTTAATTAGTAGTTTCAAATAAAACGTTTATGTGTGCATGTGCAGACGAAACACCAAATCAAAAAAAAAATATTAATAATAAATAATTATTATTATCACAAAAAATAATATGTTACAATGGATTATTTATAGAGTTTCTTTTGTTATTTACTAAATAATAACTTATTATCATGTTGGTTTTTGAATTAATAAAAAACAAACTAATAAATATTCATAGAAATATTATATCTGCATGTGCGAACAAAACACCTAGTAAAAAATAAATTCATGATTATTATAATTAAAATATTCCATTTTTTTATTATCGAATACTTAATATTTCTTGTATAGATCGAAATGCTTACAAACTTATTTATATATATATATATATACTAAAACCTATAAATCAAAACAAAATAAGTATACAAATATATGTTATTTAATTATTTAGATACTGATAGTTTTAATATATACCAGTCCATATGATGTATATTATATTTATATACATCATTGTTCACAGATGTATATTATAACATCACACGAGAAAGATTTTGAGAGTTCATGTAATATTTTTATACTTTTATTTAGTTTAGTGTGGAATATGCATTGTTATAAAGTTCGGGAATGAAAATGCATGATGAGAAAAGTTCAGGTAGTATTTTTTAAGCTTTTATTTAGTTCAGTATGAAATGCGCACTACTACAAAGTTCGGGAAGGAATATGCACGACTGGTAAAGTTCAGGTTGAAATAGGCCATTTTCCCTATATATTAACCATCAAAGATGTTACACATCCGGTAATTTATCAAAACGATGTCATTTTTTATAAATTTTGTAAATTAGTTTAAAATACAACGCCAACTCTTAAAATTATGCTTATATATATATGATCATCAAAGATGTTAGTCATCTCTTAATTTATCAAAACAACGTCATTTAGAATAAATTCTAGAAAACTAAAAAAATTATGGGATGTTCAAATTCTCACACTAATAGACAAGTATAAAATGAATATTTAAATAAATAATAATTAAGTTATCTACAAAATAATTATTTGTAAATTTAAATTTTAAAACATAAATAATTATAGATTGATTTGATAAATTACAAAAAAAACAAAAAATTTGATAACATTTATTTGATTAAAAACTTATATAAGTTAATGTTTACACAATTTATATAAGAAAGTTACCTTGATCTAATAATTAATATACTCTTACTTGTCCATCACTGTGAAAGTTTGAACCTCCGAGAAAAGTATTTTTAATTTTATAGAATTTATCCAAGTTATGTTGTTTTCATAAATTAACTGATGAGTAATATCTTTTATGATTAATATATATATATATAAGCATGATTTTACAAGTTTATGTAGTATTTTTAATTTTATAAAATTAATCTAAAATGACATCATTTTGATAAACTAACGGATGACTGACAAATTTGATGGTTTATATATAAAAGCACGATTTTGAGAATTCGTGTTGTATTTTTATACTTTTGTTTAGTTCAGTGTGAAATATGCACTACTATAAAGTTGAGGAAGGAAAATGCACGATCTGTAAAGTTCATATAATGTTTTTAAGTTTTTGTTTAGTTCAGTATGGAATACGTACTATAACAAAGTTCGGGAAGGAATAGACACGATTGGTAAAGTTCAGGTTGAAATAGGTCATTTTCCCTATAATAGAGTAACTTTATTTAAGAGTAAACAATTGGAGTAAAATTTACACCATAATAGAAATTACTCTATTTTAGTGTAAATTATAGAGGAAAAAATAGTTTGCCACTTGAGATGGTCTTACAAACTTAAAAGCTTCAAAGAGTAAAAAAAAGAAGAACGTCACACTTGTTATTGCTATGATCCTGTTCTCAAGCTGTGTAACCTGTACACTGTACAGCAAGAGAACTAGAGTCATCAACTAACCAAGAGCTCTTCCTATCACGCTTACACCCCAAGCTACTTTGGCCGTTTCGTGGCCTTGGAATAGCACTCCCGCTGATCCCTGCAGACCATTTCCGACCAACTCCGTTCCGTCTGCCACAGGAAGTCACCAGATGCTTGTCCGACAAGGAGGGGGTAAGAACATGTTTTGATGATATCGCTAACACTTTCTTCACCAGAAAAACCGTTATTGGATCGGAATGTTGTGATGTGATCAAGAAGATGAACGCAGATTGTGAGAAGATTATCTTTGGATCTTTCCGTAGCCCCATCTTGACCGGCTATGTCAAGCGACATTGCTCCACTGTTGTTGGATCTACTCCACATGCTCCCTCACCGGCTCTTTCATCGGCTCCTTCACAGGTTCAGGGATTTTAGCTATTTATTAGAATTATTCTTAAGTGTTGATTTCCTAGAAAGTTTTTGTTTTTCTTCTTGTTTTTAAATTTTAGTGTTTATTTTTAGAAGATCGTCTATGAATTTTAACTCCACTTTGATTTTTTTTCTTCTGCAAGTTAAATTTTGTGTTTACTTATTCAAATTAAATTAAGTTTTTACTTATTTAGTTTTATAAATTAAATGGTACTAAATCTCATTCATGTGTCTCTGCACTTGAAGTTTTGCGAACATCAGAAAACTTCTTTTAAATGTCATTTTGGTCTAGACATATTAATAATCATCTATGTCTCCAAAATCATATATACTGCATAAGGCATGCATCTATCCAAATTTTATATACTAATCTACATACCAGTCTATGAGATTTAAGAAAGAAAAAAACATTACCATGTTACATAGTTCTATCATCTGAAAGAAAAAATTTCCAAAATTAAAAGATAAAAGGGATACATCATACATATATCCAAAGTTCTACTTAAGTCCATAATAATATTAAAGCTTTGTATAAATTGTTTCATTTCTGGTAATATTCTAAGTCTAAAACTCATCACAGAATTATTACCACCAAAATGAAACTGTTATGTCATATGTTTCAGTAACGAAATTTTTGATATGTTACTTTAGGTTAATACTTATTATATACATAGATCGACCACCTAACAAATTTGATGAAAAAAATGCAAGATTTCTTCCTTGAAATGAATGCAAATATTTACTCACAAACGCAAACAATTCGCCACAAAAGATTTTTTTAAGAAAAAAACAGAACTACATATGTATCCATATATAGGCATCAAGGAAACCCTAAAACTATAAGATGATTTCTTCTTCTGATCAGTACCATATATTAGATTTCAGACAGAACCAAAGCTTTCCAAGGCATTCACACTGTAAAAACCTGACGAGAAAAAGGCAGACAGACCTGCCGACATTTGAGGAGAAGCATTAAACACTTCGTTATCCATCGGTGAGTAATACTCACGGATACCTTCATCCAACGGCTCAGGATTCATCTCCTCCGGGTGAGGAACTGCAGCGGCTAAAGTGGTGGGCTCCGGAGGTAGATCGGCGGCGTTTTGACCGGTGAGTTCTTGAACGAGCTCTCTGAACTTAGATGCGCAAGTCTCCACTCTCATCGGGTTCGATATGTAACGGACTTTGATGGGTTTTGTATTGATCGTGGTTGTTGTCTTCCTCTTTTGCTTTGGTGGTTTCCTCGTCGAAGACTTTCTCTGGTTTAAGCTTGTGAGCAACGTCGATGATGACTCCATCTTCTTGATTCGAACTAAAAAAGGATAAAAGAATCCAGATGTGAGCTTTCTTATTTTAGCCTAATTTCGAAATATATATAAAACTTTAGTATAAGCTTTTTTAGGATGGAGGTTGGATATTAATGGTAAGTGAACCAAACAAAAATTTAATAGCAAGTCTCATTGAGTCCTCGGCTGCTGTTAGCCGACGGTGCGTTCAGTCTACGCGCGTGAATATTCCCAATTTCACACCTACTTTCCGTTGTCACTGCATGAACAAACAAAACTAGATTGTCTTGATGATCATACTTGTTATAGTATATGATATAAAAAAGAAAAATAGTTTTCTAGAAATTGACCGTATAGAAACTTCAAACCATCTCACTATTTTATTAGTAACTCAAATGATTTAGCGAAAATATAATTATTAGTAATTTTTAAGAAATTGCATTGAAAATATGAATACCGATAAATGAATATGTTTATTTAACGTTATATTGTTACATATTTATAATAATACGAAAAATTTTCAAGTAACTAATTAGTTTGTTATGCGTAGGTTTTCATATATATAAAACACTCGAATGCATTGAAAGTTGTTTAATATTTCCTCCATTTTATGTAAAGTTGTGTTGTGAAAAAGTTTTTTAGTTACAAAATTAAAAACGTTTTCGACTTTTAATACAAAATATATTAATTATATATATATTTTATCTTTAATCAATTGAAATATGGTTAATTGTATAAGTTATTATCTTTTGTATAAGAAATATATATAATTAATTATTATTTTTAATATATGTGTATAAAGATAAAGTGACAATTAACATGAAACATAGAGAACAGTATACAGGTATCATGAATGTTTTTTTAAGTATCACCAATGTTTGATAAGGTGAGAGAGTTTTATAAGGAAATAATTTAGTTAGAATTAATCAAATGTTTTTTTTTTCTTAATAGCCTTCGGCGTGTTTTGTACGCGCCAATGGCGTGACAAAAAATGTGAATTAAGTTAAAAGTGAAAGCCGCCGTCGGCTAGTTGGCTGTCACGGCATCTCCAGAAGCGCCACATCTATATCCATGACATAGACACACCAGACGCCATGACGTCATTTAACCCGACGACAGTGATGTCACCAACTTGATTACACTGAAATTGACTATAAATCAGATAAATATGGAAGCAAAAAAAAAAATAGTTAATCTTTGCACGAACCATTGGACTCCATTATGTTAAGTAAGCATCATGAATTAACCGAAACTTGACCACAAAACAAAAGAACTTGACCGCAAGTTCGAATGTTAGATACTTATCTTTGTGGACGTTGTTTAGTTCACTATGTTTTGCACACGTTTATCAAATACTCACTCTATTCTTAAAAGATCTATATTATAGTTTTTTCACACTTTTTAATAAAACACTTTAAATTTGCATAGTTTTTTGTATTTATCTTCTTTTCATAATTTTAAACCAATCAAAAATCAATTAGTGCAATTAAGTTTTTTGAAGTTTACAATTAGTATTTAATAAAATATACACTGAAAATGTAAAAAATGGATCTTTTAGAAACAAATTTTTTTTCTAGAATATGTATCTTTAAAGAACGGAGGGAATAGTATTGTGTATTGTTTGTTCTGTAACCAGTTAAGACTCGAACAATAAATCACGAATTTACATTTCTCCCTCTAACATACAATAGCATTTATTAACAATAATCTTCGGACAAGAAAGAATGACAAGACCATTCAACAAGATGGATTAATGTCAGTGAGTGGAAACTAATTGGATTATAAGATATTGATACTAGTAAAGATGTTTCATATGCTACTGTATTTGGAAAAAAATATCGTACTTTAAAGATGTAATTACGCCGAAAGTTTAGTTGAACTATTGATTTATAGAGAATAAAACTCAAATGACAATAGCGTCTTCATATGTTTGATATATATATGGGAAAGTTACTTAACTAGAGTCGTTCAGTTTTGTTGTTGTCGCTCTCTCTCTCTCTCTGCTCCAACGTCATATGTTCATTGTAGATAATACTAGATGAGAAGTCACACATAATAAATTATAATCTTATGAATTAGGGTTCAAATAGGAACATGTGGGGGTAATGGAACAGATGCAGTGTGATTATAACAAAAATATATAGATATATATATAAAAAAAATTGTTACTATTTACCATATGGTGCGATGTGGTCTATATCATTAGAATATTCAGTCTAGAGGATTTTTTTTTTAAAAGAATTTTAAATTTTATTCAAACATAAAACCTTGTTACACATAAAGTTCAGCCATAATTGAAAAAAAAAACTCAACATCAAAGACAAATAAAATAAAGAAAACCCAAACTAAAACATCATAACACCTCTCCTCATGCTCAACCATAGGAAACAAGTCAAACATGGGAATGCCATAATTTTATCCTTATTAAAACCTTATCAAAGTAAATCCAATTGAAACAAATTTTCAATAAAGAAAAAGAGTAATAAACTTATGGTCAAGAAGGTGTAGAGATGAATTCATCAAGCTGAAAAACAACCAAACTTCCCAAAAGCTAAATAGACTCAAGCCAACTACAAGAGAACACCATATAGTCGATCTCACCATCACCAACTACTCCGCAAGCAACTACTACCAAACCACTCTTCCACAACTTCGCAAAATTACCTACTGCCAAACCACACTTCCATGGATTTTACATACTTCGTGCCAGACTTCCTTCTCAAAGAAGTAATTCTATTTCTAACCAATTTGTCTAGTCTTGCAATCAAACAACGTGCTGGCTGAAAAGGTTCACCAACCCTCCTTATATTCCTCTCGTGCCATATTGCATAGAGTACCGCTTGGAAACAATACCTCAATACAAAAGTTGAGTCCATGTGACGAAGACCCTTCACCAACACCTGAGTCACACGAGACCATTGATGTACACTTCTATCACCTGCCATGTTTCCTATGATTCCACACCAAACTTCTTTAGAATATAAACAATCAAAAAACAGGTGATTTCTTGTTTCAGTTGCAGAATTGCACAACCAGCAGAAAGAGATAGCCTGAGGGTTCCAACATAAGATCCTATCACCAGTTGCTAATCTATCAAGAATAGCAAGCGAAGCAATGAACGAAAATTTAGGAGTAGTCTCCGGGAAACAAATTCCTTTATGCCCCATCACTTTAGTCGAATGAGCTCTTGTAAGTTTCCAAGTTTGCGAAGTGAAGAAACTCGTTTTGAAATCTCCATTTTCTCATTTCCATAAGCAGATATCTTCCTGCTGGTTAAGGCTTCGGCTCCTTAAAGCTAGAATGATGCTCAATTCGTTGATATATAGGAAATCTTTGTCTTCTTACTCTATAAGTTTCAACAACTCCTTCCACCGTAGCAGTAATTGGAATACCAAGAATAATACATCCTCTTTTCCCAGTTTGCTCGATCAGTGTGCCCAACTGAGACCATTTCTCAAACCAAAAATATGTAGTGCACCACTGTTAACCTCTCTTCTTATAAGTTTCGAAGCAAGTGGTCTTAGATATAATAGCTTCTTCCACATCCATGACCCAAGACTAGAAGATTTTGATTGACTTCTTAAAAGAAAAAGTGACGTTATAACTACAATGAATTTTTATGTACATTTTATATCATCTATTATTGATTTCTAGTTTTTTTTGGGAGAATTCTTTGGCATGTTTTAATGAAAGAATATATATATTTTTTTGACATCAACATACATATTCAAGACTGTATAAACCAAGTTGGTAATTTGGTATCTATATTAATGATATTCATTTATAAAAATATTAGTATATGAATAAATTAGTATATGATCTTTCTTTACATATTAGTATTGAAAACAGTTAGCAGTGTATATGAATAAATTTTCAAAACGTTTTTTCAACAAATAGTCGTCTGGTTGTACGTAACGTATGATTAGAAAACTCCAAACTTATTTTTCTGGGAAATAATTGGAGAATTTCTGAAAGGGGTCCAGGTGGACAAGTGGGACGATGGAGGAGTTTAGCACTGTGGTGCTGTGTGCTGTGTGGTCAGTCCCTACTTAAATGTTCCCTTAAATAACATTAACCGGGCCCCTCTAATCTCCCCTCTCATTACTCCTCTAACCATAATCTCCTTTAACCACTAGTACATTTTCTTCACACAGATCATGAGGTTTTCAACGTGTAATTTAAGCTGGATAGCATGGACTCAGAAAATATAAGTGTCGTGCCAGTCCAATAATCAAAAGCTTGGAGAAATTTTGCTTCTTGAGTAAATCGAAGGTTTATAGATATCGAAGAAATCAAGTCACGAGTACATACGTAGAGAGAGTCAGATTCTCATGACAAATACGATAAATCCAAGTTGGCGACTTAGAAAAGTTCTCCTTTATCACGGGAGGGTTATCATTTTCCCATAAAATACCTCTCTTGAGTTCTTAAAAGGGTTTGACTTCCCAACATCACGACATAATTGAACATGCAAATTTCATTTCAGTGAAAAAAGTTTAAATATTGACATCGCATACTAGAAATAAATAAATAAATGACTTTGCATGTGAATAAACGTTGTAAAATATCCAAAACTACTACTGTTTCCCCAAAGGAAAATCTCAAGTCTGATAAACACAAAACTATCACGTTCGTCTTTTCTATTAAAAAGAACATCAATCACATTTACAGTTATCAATCTCATCACTCAAAACGCGACTCATATCTTTCTCCATTTAATATTCTAGAAATTTGACAAAAAAATATATATTATAGAAATTAAAAATCAAGAACTTGTCAGCGAAAGCTTGATCATTACTGACAAAAAAAGAAGCTCATAATCACTAGGTAGCTAACGAGTTATGACGACTGAATATGTCGATGGCGTTGAAATATTAATTTTGGCCTAACTACAGAAACACCATAACCGGATAAATGGTTGAATCAAAAAGTTTGGAATAGTAAAAAACGCTTTCGTGATTGGAACACAAGGAGAGTACGTTGTTGTTGACTTTGAAGCTAAACGGATACAGATAGATCCAAACGACTTTTTCTGGTAGGATCTATAAAGTCGATACGTTCTCCGGAGTTATTGTCCACCAATATGTCCATCACATATATGACATAACCCTTCAATCATTTTATTTTCTTCTTTTTATTTATTGCATTGATCATATTATTTTTATATGTTTGTGTATATAACTTCTTCACAAAGTAACTTTAAAATATATAAATCTAAAAGGCATTGATACATCCAAAATAGTTATCCTAAAAACTAGTAAATGTTTTCATGAATTACATCCAAATCTACACTCAAAACAATGCCATTGCTCCTAAGCTTTATGTAATGTACGAGAAGACACACCGTGTAGTAATCTGACAAAACCCAAGAAACTAAGCTTTCCATCTGAATGTCTTATCCAATCCTGAAGCACAACGTGCACCGGGACTGATGGTCCGAGTCCAAGTTCCTGTAGTCAACAATCAATGTTTTTAAGTTTTGTTCTTCTTCATGAGTCTCATCTATGTGAATAAGAAAAGGGTAGAGATTCATATACCGATGCAAGTTCCTCAATCATGATGGCTCTATTCCCATCTTTCTCAAACAACTCGTAAGCACGCCTTGCGTGTTGCTCCCATGTTTCCATTGCTTCCATCTGATAAACACTTAACGCTGATGCACAAAACTCTTCAAAGTCTAGTTTCTTGTACTGAAGACAACTTATCTGCATCCCAAAACAAGAAATTAGAACTATTTTAAGCCAATGATCATATAACTATATATCATTGTCACTAGCCTAGTTTCTTACCATGTGAACAAAATCTAAGACTCTTGAATCCTTCATAGCATCTGTTGAGCTCTTTAGTATTGCCTGAGATTTGTATGAAAAAAGAGTAAAAAAATCATATATAATGCAAAGAGAAGAGATGGATGGAGTCACTAGAGATAAAAGTAACTCACAGTTTTGTAATTCTGCATGGAGATATATCCATTTTTGCTTGGCCCCAACAATGTAAATTGCTCTCGCAGATAAGCTAACTGTGGGACAGTTAATGTCTTGGCAAGAGCCTGTAACCATTGGAAGAAAAAACGTTTCTCGTACAGTTTCTTGGAATCCAAATAGAATATGTAAATCTTCTTGGAATCCAACTCACCACTAAAGCTGATTTTCTCAATGAAGTTGACATTATGTACACTTTTACAAGCTTGTATACGATCATATCACAAGGTATCTTTAGCTCATGTGAGCCAACCAGCCACGGATGACCTGAGATTCACATGGTTTCATAATATAAGACATGATAATAATGTGTTATAAAGATCAAGATGAGTATATACTTACACAAAGCCTGTGCAGCAGTTAGTCTTTTACGGTAATCTTTGTTAAGCAACCTTTTCACAAAATCTACAGCTTCAGGTGATAGTGAAGGCCAAGGAGCTTCTTCAAAGTTAGGTATTGACTTAAGTACAGCTCTAAAGATTCCTGATTCAGTACGGGCCCAAAAGGGTCTACTACCACAGAGAAGAATGTAAGCAATCACTCCAATACTCCACATGTCAGCTTCTGTTCCGTATGTACGGTGTAAAACTTCAGGGGCTACGTAATAAGCACTTCCTACTATATCATTCAACCTCTCGTCTGCAGAAATTGCAAAAACAATTGTTGAGTTTTACCATTTAGCAAGGAGATGGTGGGTTCATTATTCAGATGTATGACCTGGCTTGACATAATCAGAGAGACCAAAGTCAATTGCCTTAAGAGGAGAAGTCTCATCCTTTGTACTGAATAAAAAGTTCTGTGAGAGGAAAACAAACAGAACCGTCATCATCACTCTGCATAAGTTGAAAGCGAAGTGTCACCTCAAGCCACCATCATGAGTTATAAAGTACCTCGGGTTTAAGGTCACGGTGAACCACACCTTGGAGATGACAATAAGCTACAACACTAAGAATTTGGACCATAACTTGTTTAGCATCATCTTCTGAGTATTTGCCACCCCTGTATGAGATCAAGCTCAACAAAGTCAATACGTTACAGTATTCAAAAGGCATAGATAGACACATGTGATGTAACAGAAATTTACCTTTGAAGTATTTTGTCTAAGAGCTCACCACCTTTACATAACCTGATTAAACAAGAGAATGAAGTATATTCATCACAATCCTGTAATTTAAAAGATGATCAAAGGGAGCATAAGACACTGATGTATACTTACTCCATCACAATGTAAACATTTTCATCATCTTCAAAGGCGTCATAGAACTGGACTAAGTTCTTGTGACCAGTCAAAGCTCTCAATATCTTCACTTCTCTACTAACATCCTCAATCGCTATAGCAGTTGTCATCTGCAGTCACCAAAACATAAAACACTAAGGAATGAATAAACCAAGCAACGGCTAGTTCAAGGAGATAGCTAGCTTATCAACATCATCTAAAAACTAATGTTTTTATTCACTCTCAGACCAAATCTAGAAAAACACATCAAGTGTCCATTTCCTAACAGTTAAAACATATAATATCTGAACACAACTGATAAACTCTGTTATTATTCACACTCAAAGCAAACTTTACACTTAGGTTAACATAGAGAAACCAAAACAGAGTACTTAATGATGCATCTCTGACAACATTGGTCCTAAACTATATTAAAATTAAACAACTCTAAACACCTGGCAATAAAACTAGACTTAGGAATTTTTATTTTTTTCCTAAAAAGACAGGAATGTTTAAGAGACGAAACAACAAAGGGATACAAAACTAACAGAAAGTGATCAAGAACCAAACCTTGGACTTAGGTATAACCTTAACAGCTACTTCATGTCCCTTCAAGCTTCCTTTTTTACCCTTAGCAGAGCAAGTATACCCAAAATGCCCCCGACCCACTTCACCATCAATCTCATAATTCGACCCAAACTGTTTCGAGAAGCCAAAGCTTTTATCAAGACCGATCTCGAACTCCTTGCCTTCAGAGATCGTCTTGACCTCGCTAGGCTTGGTGGAGCCGTTGCGACGCGCGAGGAAAGCGCGTATGTGCTTAGCAGGGGAAGGAGGAGGGAAAGGTCTCTTGAAGACGCGAAGAGGCGTTGAGCTCGCGCTTGTTGCCCGTGACGGTGAGGGTTTGCGTAAAGGACTTGGACTGTAAAACGGAAAGGCTGGAGATTTCGCCGCCGGAGTTTCGTCGGAGGAAACAGGGGTGCTCTGTTTTGGTTTTTGCTCGATGGGTTTTCCGTGACAGATCCCCATGAATTATGAGTTGGGGAATTACAGGGAGGTGAAGAATTGTGATTCACACGAGAAAGGAAGAAGCTTTGAGGAGTCAGTTAGTTTTCCCGGGAAAAAAAAACAGAGTACAGAGAAAGAGATAAACAGAGGAGGAGAGAAGCAAGATTCTGTACAATTATGAGATGATAAAAGTTGAGTAAAGACACAAGACGAAGTAAAAGCAAAAGTGTTTGAGATTGAAAAAAAAAAGTGAAAGAAGATTTTGCTTTTGCAGTAGAAAAAGAAGCAAAGCTTAATTGATTTATTTTGTATTATTTTACATATTTTGATTTTTCAATTATCTTTTTCTTTGTTGCTTTTTTATTTTATGTTTCTAGTAGCAAATCTCTTTTGTTAAATGTGAATGTGATGTTTGGTTGCCAAGAAAGAGTTGTGTTTGGTGACTATTCTGCACCAGAATTAAATTTACTCTATTAAAATATAGTTATTTTTTTATTTACTGATACAAGTTGTCATTTAAATTTAGACTTTTTCTAGAGTGTTACAAATATGTAACACAAGCCATATAATTAACTAAACCGTATTACTTAAATTAAACCGATGATTATTTATGGAATATAGTCTTGGACTTACTTTTGTTTTTAGAACAAATTATATAGTTTAGTTTTTGGGCTTAGTATTAAAGAAAAACTCCAAAAATATTGAATAAATTTTCTACCTTAATAGATCAAAATAATCAGTTATTATTTTTAGGCCAAAAGGTATTTAATATTTTTTAACAAAAAAATTGTCTATTATTAATCATTATTTAAATCATGTACTTTAAAACATGTTAATGTATTTTTTATTTTAAATAACAATCACTTTATTTTGATAAATTCCAATGGTAACTTTTAAATAATTTATTGTTTTATTTTTCTTAAATAGTTTACTGATTTAAAAAAAAATATAAAGCAAAACCAAAAACCAAATCTAAAAACCAAAAGATGAAAACACAAGTTATATTTTTTTTTTGCTTTTGTTTATCTACAACATAAATTATTGCAAATTTTTTTGTCGTCTTTTCAGTTTTAAATTAGATGTTCGATTATTTAGGATTTGTTTGTTGGTAATATCAGTTCAAACTAACTCAACGGGTCTAAAAATTAAAAACACAAACCAAAAGTAGAAATTTAAAAACTAAAAACAAAAAACCAAAATCTAAAAATAAAAACTGAAACTAAAAAATAATGAAAAACAATCATCACCAAAAATTTTGGTGAATTGATTTTATACCAAAACATTCTTTAAATTAAGACAATACCCAATTATATAAATTTTTAATCATAAAAAAATTTCGCGCTTTCAAGCGCGGGTCAAAATCTAGATAACATAAACCAAAATTTTAAAACAAAATCTAAAATTTGGTGAAGAAAAAACTGAAACTAAAAACCAAAATTTTGACCCGCGCTTTTCAAGCGCGGAAAATTTTTATGATTAAAAATTTATATAAATGATACAAGTTTATATCTATTAAAATAGAGTCGTTCTTTTTATCTACTGATACAAGTTGTCATAGTTTAATCATAAACTAAAAACCAAAATTTTAAAACAAAATCTAAAATTAAAAAACTGAAACTAAAAACTAATGAAAAACAATCATCACCACAAAATTTGGTGAATTGATTTTATACCAAAAAATTATTTAAATTAAGACAAAACCCAATTATATAAATTTTTTATCATAAAAAATTTCCTCGCTTTCAAGCGCGGGTCAAAATTATAATTATATCTTAAGCGTTTGTTTGTTATATTATCATATAGCTATTTGGATAGTGTTGCATTGATATGTTATTCTAATATAGAGGGAACAATTTAAAGAGAGTAGGAGAATAGATGAGTCTATAAAAAGGAATTTGAAATAAGATTGCCAAGGCTCAGAGCAACCTTATCTTTGCACTGCCCAGTCTGCAATATGCTAAAAATATCAAACAAAGGATCCAAAAGAGTCCTTGAATCATGCCAAAATGATTAAAAAAAAAAAAAAAAAAAAGAAGCATATGATATTGAAGTTGGCGCTTGATTAAAGAAAGCTACCCAAAGAAATGTCTACGTTAGTTTCACATGTAGATGTAGGTCTGCTAAAAAAAAAGTTTCACATGTAGGTTAGCATGTTGATATATGAAATTTACCATATTCACTGGTCCACATATGTATACTTTACATTTGTTTTTATTATTTTATTTAATATTATAACATAACATATTATATAATACTTAGTTTCGTTCCTTTTTTTGCATCTTAAATACTACGGAAAATGAGATAATTTCTAGAGATTTTTGTTCTTTGGCATTGTCTCATTTCGGATTGTTGTTTGCCTACAACTTAGAAAACAACATTTTAAGAATTTATTTGCACGTCAACTGAAATCAATAGATGAATAAACAATAGTTTGGGTTTGGTACTGCTGTGCTAGGCACATATGAATTAATACTACCGATGCATTTCTTATCGTGAAACGTACTTGTTGGCATAATTATTCTTTATTCACCTGAGTTTCATTGTTTTAGTTTGTGCATGACTAGGTGTTTTAGGGTAGAGCTTTATAGATTGCACAAAAAAATTGTATAGAAAATAAAATTATAAATATATAGATTATTTAAAGTTCACTATTTTACAATGCTTTTAAATACCTATTGATGTGAATATCGCAGCCTCGCAGGTATTTATGAATCATGCATAGACAAACCCCACGTCAATCACGTTTTAAATGACAGTCTCGTTTAACATAAAAATGCATATTTTAATTATATAGAGCCCATCATACTTTGTATAATTGTTTTTTTCTTCTCAATGAAGCTTATCAATTGCTATAGGAGTATTATTCATTGTTTCGTGGACTATGCACTCAACATCAATCGTCACAATTGGTTTAATTTCTTTGTGTAATGCGTGAGACAATTACTATCTCACGTGTTACATAGGAGGCCCAATTTCAATAGCTGGAAGGCAATGATTTGAGTGATTCTTTGTATTGAAATGCGTGTCTTAAGTATTTGTGTACAAATTTAATCAAACAGGTAATCAAGTCGGGTTTAGTTACCGGTATTAAAAGAAGAAACATGTCGAAGAGTAAATGTTTTTTAGCAAAACCATGTAGAAGAGGCCAAGTTATCAATTAAACAGAAAAAAAAAAACAGACATGTGTTCACCACGTTGGCAAGGTTAGAAGAAAATAGTTAAAGATGACAATATTATTAATGAATTTGTACGTGTAAGTTACATAACCGAATGAAGATTCTGAATTTGAACAACCTGGGATTTTTTTTGTAAGAAATGGATAAAATGATATAATATGTCCAATTCGGTTTTTCTATGCAAACATAAGAGAGAGCTAGGTCCAAGTCTCCTTAGATGGGCTTGAATCCTGAATTTTTTATCCTTCTTGTTTCTATTATCAATTCGCTGAAGAGTCTTCATGTGAAGAGACTTAAGTATCTCCATGAGGTCAGGCAAGAGATCTGATCTTTCGTCACAACATAAAGATGCTTTGAAGATTATATGACCGTCGTTTGAATAGTCTCCATAGTGTAGAACACTAATCTCGTCGCTCTCTGAGGGTAAAAGAGTTTGGTCGGAATCGGAGATCTCTAGGGTTTGTTGTTTAAGTTCTTTGACTCGTTGGACCACTTTGGCGAGCAGTGTGGCTTTATCGGTCTGAAATGAAAAGTATGGATTTTTAGAAAAACCATTTTTTTGGATCAAGAACTTGAATTTGATGTTCATATCATATCAACTGAAGAAAGCATGAGAACTTTCCAAAAAAAGTTATATACTATCCCAACGAGATTTCATTAAAAGGCCATGAAGCTTTTTGTATTTTTCTTCATCTTCTATATCTCCTCACTATTTGCAAATTTTGAATATTAAAAATCACTACACGAACATTCAAAAATCAATGACCATCTCTATTTTTGTAGAATTATATACAATGAGAACTATGGATCATCTTAAGAAATATAATTAGACAAAAAGATTCAAATGAAACTAAAAAAATATTATAACAAAATATCATGAAAATATAGTAGTACTCATGAGCTAAATAGAATGAAACATAAGAAACATCAGAACCCTAGTACCCATTTAAAGAATTTCTCTTATAAGCTAAACACACGTGACGTAAGTATCTATCTACATATGTATGGGTAGATATATTTAAGCCATATGAAAGAGTATTAATATGTATTTAAAATTTGTATTACCTTGGAACTACAAGAGAGTACGTTGCGTAGCTTGTTGAGATGAGAATTGATTCTCTCTCTTCTTCTTCGCTCAGCTTCTTTATGATTCCTCAAAGCAGCAATAGCTCTATCTTGAGCAAGTGTTTCTCCGATGCCGGAGATAGCTAGTGGATAATAAGATGACGTCGACGAAGGCGACCCGCATAAGAACGGCATAGTCGACATGTAGTCCTCGGAAACGTAGAATCCTCTGTTGGAGATTTGGTTTTCGGTGAGGAACGAATACAGCATCTGATCTGACTCTGAGCTCTCTGGTTGCATTTTTGATTTCTTTAGCGCCGCCTTCTTTTGTTTTTAGTGGGGTTTGTGGAGCTTTCGGTGTGTTCTGTCCTAAAAGATGGATTATATATATGTAAACGAATGTAAACGAGAGAGTAGATGGTGAAGATTAATATATAATTATATATTATAATACTATCAGATATCAATATTTATAGAGCCCATATTTATATAGTGCTGTAAAAAACAAAAACAAAACAAAAAAAAAACTTGATACTTTACCTTTGTGGAAAACTTAAAATACATATTGGTGGGGGAAAAGTTGCTATAGAGTTTGGAATTTTTGGGAAGGGTTTTTAATTAGGTCATTTTAAATAGTTCTTTGATCTCCTACGATGATCTATCATATGTTTGTATTCTTTATATTTGTTTATGTTGCCACAAGTTTGTTTTCTATCAAGGGCTAGATTTATCTTTTTTTAAGTGATAGCAAAATTAACCTGAAGTAAGTGTGAGTTAGTTTTCCATGTATTGTACAATTTTTCAAAAGCCTTAAGAAAAAAGTATTGTGTACCTTCTGTGATATACTGATATTATTGTATAATGTATAATCATATATTACATGTATTTGTTTAAATTCATGTTTTTATTTGGTAAATGCAATGCCGTGCCTCACATAGTCACATATGACAGACTAGAAGCGAGGAAACCTTTTTGGCCCCAAAAGCAAATAATGTGACTGAATGAAACTAACACATTGAAAATATTAGAACAAAACGTTACCAATGTGATCTGATCGTAGATGATGTTCGATTAGGTTTTGGTAACTGATTTTTTTTCTTTCTAGGCATTTATATATAGTTAATGATGATCATTAACCAATTTCCTTTTTACTTATTTTTCCTTTATATGTAAAGTTAGTTTTTCTTTCTTTTGTTTATTAATATAGTTAACACTGATCATCGACTAAACAAAACAAATTCGAATGCGGGGCGTCTGGAGTTAAACTAACTAATAGATGCTTGAACCATTTCTGCTACGTAATTATTTGGAAAATTGGTTTCAAAGTTATTTTAAACTTGTTGACCCTCAAACACATGATTGATCAGCCTATATCCATGCACGACCCTGGGTAAATGAATGCAGAAACGTTTGATCATTTTACCACCATAACCATACCGTGAAACTTGACTAACTAGTGTTATCTTCGTGAAACTTGACTAACTAGTGTTATCTTCTATTCTTCTATTAATCTAATTATATATGATTCTTTTGGTACTAGAGATATGATAGATATCATGATGATAATATATTGAGCTACTCTCTGTATTTTTAATGTAAGTATCTCACTTAAAAGAAAATATAAATAAAACAAAATAAGAGAGAGAAGTACATGGAGTTTTTTGCAAATCATTCCAAAACTTGTTGTTGACATTCTAAATTGCCATATGTCCTTTTATCATTTATCAATCTTTTTTACAAATATTTTTTAAAAAAATATTTAATGAAAAAACATTTAAATATTATTTACTTATTACTGAGATCTCCAAATTAGTATACTCACCGGTAAGGTTACTCTATGGTACGTCAGACTTTGCAAATGTGATATAACTGAACAACTGAACATAGAAAGACGGTAGGTAATCACTAATCACAGAAAGAAGCTATGCCACAAATAATGGGCCTAACCTTTTTTAAAATGAAAGGCTTTTATCGACTCTTGGGTGATCGTGCAGTAGTGGTACATTTCAACAATGGAATGTCTGAAAACAGCTGCTATACTCTTCTCTCTTTCAAGTTCCTCCTCTGAGCTAACAAAAGTGAACCCCAAAAGTCTAGCCGCAGGCGATAAGCATCTTCTTGATTTTATATGTGGTGAGAGTTTATAAGAGAACCATCAATAGGATCCAATTTGCACTCCACAAAACCATGAAGCAGAGTAATACTAGAGACCTGATTAGACACTGCATCAGCTCTGATTAGGAATCAGAGTTACAAGATCTCTGCTACATATATTCCAGGATAGTTTGGTTCTTCATTTAAAATACACAATGCAAAGATAGCCTCTATGAAGACAAAGAGCCACTAGATAAATCAATCGCTCAGACAGAAGCTAATAACATGAAATGGACATAACATTCCTGTCTCTTTTAATCACCAACACAGCCATTAATATTACATAAACATAATAAGACATAATAAAAAGAGAGGATGCGACAAGTAGTTTGTGGCCTCACTTGGCCATCATAACCTTGACAAACTCTTCATAGTTAATCTGACCATCACCATCAACATCAGCTTCCTTAATCATCTCATCAACTTCTTCATCAGTCAACTTCTCACCGAGATTCGTCATCACATGTCTCAACTCAGCAGCAGAGATGAAACCGTTCTGGTCTTTATCAAAGACTCTGAACGCTTCCTTGAGTTCTTCCTCAGAGTCCGTATCCTTCATCTTCCTAGCCATGAGGTTCAAGAACTCAGGAAAATCGATGGTACCGTTACCATCTGCATCAACTTCGTTGATCATGTCCTGAAGCTCAGCTTCTGTAGGGTTTTGACCTAGGGAACGCATCACGGTTCCAAGCTCCTTCGTTGTAATGCAACCTACACAAGAAATCAAGAACCATATGGATCGTTACATTTTGTACAAGGAATCAAGAAGTATACGATTAAGAAGAGGGATAAAGATTACGTACCATCACCATCCTTGTCGAATAAGCTGAAGGCTTCCTTGAACTCGGAGATCTGATCGTCGGTGAGCTGATCCGCCATATAGCTTTGTTTTCTTTACGTGGAATATGCTAAAACTGTGTTTTCTTGGAAAGAGTTTGTGGAGAAATATGAGAGAACGATAATAAACCGTTCTTCTCGGCGCGTTTTATTTACCAGAATTATTTTAGGAAATGTTTGTTATACCCTTAATTTTGGCCTCTAATTACCCTAATGCCATCAATTTGAGTTTTTTTTAATTTTACGAGGAGAGAAAGAGAGGAGATGGATCACACGTTTACGCGGTTTCTACGCGGAGCGTTGACTGCCATGTCAGCATTTCCAATGAGTGGGTCTTCTATTATTACAGTGGGTCTCCCTGTTTGATTTTCCTTGGTTAGTTGGTTGGCTGTTAATATTTCTCTCATTTTATTATTTAATGCTATTTTTTTTCTTGTTTGAAAGATTTTATTTATTTTTTATAGTGGAACAAAACTATGAATGTTTCTTCCCATGTGTTGAACAAGTGGAGCAACATCTGTAAAGATTTTGTATTATGAATTTGACAGACATTTTTCTGATATAAAAAGAGGAGCCATGACAAGTGGAGTGATAGTGGTGGCAGGCTATCCTGTGAAACGGTGTCGTTCTTTATCTGAAAGGTGTCTTCGCTTGCAAGGACTCAATTTTCCATCGACATGGCTCCTACAACAATTTCAACAATCTATTTTATCTTTCTTAACTTCATATCTCCTGACTTATATAACACGTTCATAAAACTTGTCCGAAGGAAAGTATACTTCCCGTCAGAGAAATGATGAAATCTAGTACCATCTCTTAACGTGATCTCTTGGTTCTTGATCACCTATATATATACTTAGAAGGTAACAACTGCAATCGTTGCAAACTCGCAAGTTGTTGATTATTCTAATGGGTATACCTCCAGGTAATATAATGCGTGCTGCGTGCATATGCAACCACTAGCTTTACGCTGTGCTGCACCAAGTCTGATTCTTTCTCCTCATCATCCATATCACGCAACACTGAAGTTGTTTCAGGCTTGTATCCCTTCAACTTCAGCCCCATATATAGATCTCTTTTTGATTTAGATTGGGAACAATCTTGACCTCGTACGTTATATATATAGATCTCTTTTCAGCCATCATGTCCAAACAGCTCAAGCCCCTTTGTCTTTTATACCAGAGTGGCTACATGCGTAATGCAGTTACAACTTGTCTGGCCTATAATCTGATATTTTTCGTCTTTTATTGTTTAAGCACTGTTTCAAGGCATCTGTTTTGAGCGATCTAGGAGATGATCTAATGACATTTTCACATTTCCACATTGCATTGAACCACGCAACCAACAAACTACGAACATGCATTGACCTAATGACATTTTCACATTTCTCATATACATATGAGCCACCGAACTGCTAACCACTGAGTCCAACTCAAGCCCGTATTTGACCATGTAGCCATGAATCTGATGCCCTATGAACACCGATCGTAACGCAGCACATCCATTAAAAACACTACCATGTGTGTAAAACCCTGATCTTTGCATTTCTCTATACAAAATGTGTAATTACATATTCTTCTAAGCTTTATTACAAACAAAGAAAGTTAACTAGACCAAGTAAAACACCACACAAGTTTTTTTTGTTTTCTTTTGCGTTATTCTTAACCTGTTTCCTAGCTCGTGAACGTGCTACAGATTCTCTGTTCTTGATCATCCTCTTCTGCGCCTTCTCTCTACAGTCTTCTCCACAATATCTCCTCCTGATGAAGCCAATCTTTTCCTCCCATGCGCTTGTGGTTTATCAGATAATGTACCCATCATCAGAGACGTTGGAGACACCATTTCTTGCATCTCACAAACCGGATGTGGCATAAACCCTTGACGTTGATGCTGAGGTTGATGAAACTCAACCCATTGCCCATTTAGAGCCACGTTGACAACATTTTGAGGGACTATTGTCTTAGTAACTATACCAGCTTTCAACAACAAATCCGCAAGTGTGATTTCACAAGAGTGTAGGTAGGCTGCTTATATATTATTATCTAAGCTCTCACCATGAGGATTGAGGCGGCTCCCACATGTTTCTGCTTCTTCCTCTTTTATTTTTTTTTATATATACGACTCTTCTACTATAGATCCAAAACACACAACTCTTATCAAACTATACATTACACATTCAATGTAACACATATCAAGAAAATAATAAGTTAACTCCTTTTGGTGAACTTGATGAGTACATATGATTACCAGTAGATATTGTGTGTGGGCGTTTGATCCTGTCACAAAGAGAAGAAGAATAGCACACATACTCGATCTTTATGTAGCTGCATGTATCTCTTAAGAATCAATTGTTAAATAAGCTTTCACTGGCTAAATACAATTTTAACAAAGTGGCAATTGGAGATACAAACAATGCACTAATTATCATGTTTTTAACTTAACATAAGTTTGAGTGAGAAAAACCCTTGCCGTCAAGAGAGAAAAAAAAGAGAGACTTTTTAGTTTCAAGCTGATGGTCGGAGGCTTCTATAGCTCCGACATCGGCTTGTTTAATTCTTCTTATTTCTATTTCTTTGATATGTTTTCTTTATGGTCTTCTAGTTTGTTTGATTGCCAATTTATTTTGAATCTGGCAAAATTTTGGATTGTTCTTTTGTATGGTTTTTCCAATGGATTTGAAATGGAAAAAATTTCGGTTCAATTGAATCGTTTAGAAAAGGTAATTGACAGATCTACTGCGGATGGTGGCGACGGGTCTTACCGGCTTCAATCGTTGATGGTTCTTCACTTGATGGTGATAGATTTTTTGCTGCAAACTATGGTTACTTCGAAAGACAACATGAAATTCTATGGAACGGTAATCTCTTTGGCTCTGTTATTACTGAAGTATAAAAAGAGAGTAGCAATCGTTCTCAACTAAGTATGAAGCGTGGTGTTTCTGGATTAATATGAGGGTTATCTCCTCTGAGATTCAACTATTTCAGAAGCAAATATGGAGCTTTCACATGAAAATTTTTAGTCATCCATATCCTAATAGATGTGTTAGTCTACTTTGGTTCCCTACTGGTGTATCCTTTTTCTATATTGTTTTTGTCAATTCTCATTGTGTAAAACTATTTACCTAAATGGTTTAATAATACAATCCAACGTTAAAAAAACTTAACATAACTGAAATAGCCGTAAATAGCACTTGATTCAACATACAAATAAACAATGCATATATAAGCATTTGTGTGAGTAATAAAGAAACAGTTCTGACGCATAACAAATTTGAAAATACATTCCATAGCTCCCATGGTGGAGCTTAACACCTTAATAATCTGCACATTCCCACCGCCTACTAATTACAGATTCATAATGTATGCTTTTGGAGCAAAAAAAATTCTTAAGGACACACAAACAGACGTCGCTTTGAAAAACAAGTCCAAAACTTGAAAGATTCTTGACACAAATGATTCAAACTAATAGCAGAGAGCCAAACCAAGTTTACATTTTTATTGTTCATGCAGATAATTACTGAAGCTAAACAAGAAAACAATGTTTGCTTAAGCATCTAGTTATAAAACCACTAATTCATAGCTTCAAGTTTTTTTTCCGTAAAATAGAAACATTGATAATTTTAAATCTTTTGGCATTAAGTTTTTTAAATTTTCATTTTTTTTTTTGCATTAAGTGATGAATTGTTCAATATGCAACCATTTACATGCCAGATGGGTAATGATTAAGCAACGATAACATGTGGAAACCAAGATATTATATATACCATTTTCATTTGCAGAGTAGCAAAGTATGCTCAGAATACTATTCTCTCCGTTTCATATTAAGTGTCGTTGTAGATAAATTTTTTTCGTTACAAAATAAGTGACATTTTCAGTTTTCGATGAAAAATTTATAAATTTTATTATGTAATTTGTTTTTCTATTGATTAAAATGTGGTTCGGTATATATGTAATTGTGTTTTTATATGAAAAATATATAAAATTAATTGTTTCCTTAATCCGTGTGAACAACTCAAAAATGACACTTATAATCAAACAAAGGGAGTAATAAATCTGACTCACGGGAGAGGAAAAAATAGTAAGATAATTCAAAATTGTACATAATAGTTAGTGTTGATCATTAACAAGAACTTCTTCGTCTACTTCTACAGGTAAGATCTTATCTACATGTGTATTTATGTAAGTTGCGATTCTTAGGCTTTAGTTTATTGGATTACTTGAATTTGATTTTATATTACGTATCAAATATCATTCATATCTTCAGATAAAGGGATGTCTTTGGATGCTGATTCGGTAAGTTCTTCTAACTGCCACCTCAGGAACTTCCTATGATTACCTCCACCACTAGTAAAAACGGTATTGATCTCAAGAAACTCAATTCTCTGTATAGGCCAAATATCATGGGTATGCACTTCTCCTCAGCAGGAAAAGCAAAGGCTCTAGCCAGAAACCAGCATCACCTCAAATGATTGCTCTGTTAAAACAAATGTTTTATCAAAGGTCAATTTTTAGGTCTCACAAGAGGCTTAGAGAACATTCGATGTGGCAAGAAAAGCATTCCTTACATGTTAGAACTAGGTGGTTATCCGCGAATTCGCGGATATAAATATTGTATGAAAATAAATATTATGTATATAACATCATAAACTTTGAATAATAATTAGAAACATTTAAAAATATAATTTTTAACTTCAAATAGTTTGAAAATTAGTCATAAAGTTTTAATAAATTTGATGTAAAAATAACTGATAAATATTTTGTAATAACAAATGTTTGTGGAATTATATATGTAATTGTCACATTAACTTCTCCAACACATATTATGCATCTTCTTCGTCCTCTTCTTATTTTTTTTGTTATTTTTTTGTTTTTTATATTAAATTTGTGCTAATATTTTTATAATATTTACATATTTTTGCCAGATATTATTTCTTTCTCTAAATAGTAATACAAAACATGTAACAATAAGCTAAAAACCGTTTTAAACTCTTTTCAATCATAACATTACCTTATTCACTATATTATTTGACTTAAATGAAATCAAAACTCTCACATATTCCATTAAATATAAATATGTTTAATCTTCAAAGCCTAATTATTTATAAAACATATATAGACATTACAAGAGATTAATCATTATTATAGATACGACTATATTTTATATAAATTTGAAATTATTATATCGATTTCTATAAATTGTTTTCTATTGAAAAGAGAGGATAATTACATATATGCTTAATGATACTAATGGGAAGTGTAACAGAAGCAGGGACGTACATGATGGGCACTTATTGGAAATGTAAGAACAGCCTTATTGATTAGATATTCACTAAGTATCTCATTAATATAATAGTGTTAGTCTTAGTAGAAAATAAATTAAGAAACTAATATTCCATCCGTTTCATATTAAATATCGTTTTAGAGAATTTTTTTCGTTACAAAATAAGTGTCGTTTTCGATTTTTAATGCAAGATTTATTAACTTTATTTTGCAGTCTATTTTTCTATTGGTTGATATATGGTTAGGTGTATAGATAATTGTGTTTTTATATAAAAAATGTACACAAATTAATTATTTTCTTAGTCCGTGTGCATAAACCTAAAGTGACACTTATAATGAAACAAAGTGAGTATGATTTTGTTAACTCCAATGGTGAGATTCTTATTAACTATTTTATCTCTTGTATTTAATTTTTAATGTTACTTAGTTTAATTCAATTGTATCAATTTGTAATAATATTAATATTCGATTTTAATCTATATATAATAGATCTTGTTAGGAAGGTAATTTTATTTTAGGATTTATAAGAAAAAATCAAAAAAATAATAATAACTTATAAATGATTATTTAAGATTTTTAAGTCTAAGTGTATTTGATTTAATGGAATTATTTTATTCAACCAACTAAAATAAGACACGTGACCTTCAAGGAGTTGTGACATTGTCTATGTAGAGATTCGTTTCTCATGTATCTGAAATAAAAAAAAATTGTTTTTCATTTATTTTTATCATCTTTAAATCCTTGATACTCTCTTAGAAACTATCAATGGACAAAATCTAAGTGCATTTCGAGTGGGATTTTTTTTCGTTGGAGCTCTTAACATATGTATTATATATATGTATATATATAAATATAAGTATTTGTGGATTCATAATTTTTGTGGAACCCTATAGACAAAGATTTTTAAAATGAAATTTTAAGAGCTCTTAAGAACTTTTGTCTATGGAATTCACAAAAATGGTAGACCTACTAATATTTATATCTCTATAATATATACATAATATATATTTTAAGAACTCCAATGGGAAGAACTTCATCGAATGTTTTTTCACAAATCTGTTTGATGTAAAACTAATATAATAATAGATAAGATGTTTTTAACAATTGAGAGACTAATAATACATGTATCTTACTCGTTTTGGTACACTTCTATTTTCTACTTTAAATTTTAACTGTGTAATTAACTAATTTTTAAAAACTAATATAATATTAGTATTGTATCCTGGTTACAAACTAACTAGTAAGGGTATGATTAACCCCGGTCTCTTAACGGGGTTCTTAACTCATGATTTGATAATATTCTTTTTTACATTTTTCTGCTAAGAGACGGTTCTTATATTTCTTATTTAAAAAACGGTTCTTAGTTTTTCTTAGTTAAAATTTTAGAAAAGCTAAGAATCATCTCTTAACGAAAATTAAAAACCTCAGTTAAGAGACTGAAGTTAATGAGATCTAAGGTAATCAGTTTATGCGGGAAGTTAAGGTGAAGCGGCGGTAATGATTGGTGGGAGAAATGTGAGTGAAGGCCAATGAGTGGTGATGAAGACGTAGGAAAAATGGAGTCATCTCCAAACCCTTTGGTTTCTCCACTCTTCCATTCTCATATGCTTGAGTCTATGTTTGAAACACAACTTTAAATAAATGTGTTATGTAGAGTAAAACATTATCTTTGTGATCTGGTCTGAAGTAGAATAATCGTAAACTGTTTTTGATGATGCTCAGCAAGTCATCTTCTTATTTATCAT